ACATACATACATACATACATACATACATACATACATACATACATACAAACATACATACATACATACATACAAAAATACATACATACATACATACATACATACATACATACATACATACAAACATACATACATACATACATACAAAAATACATACATACATACATACATACATACATACATACATACATACAAACATACATACATACATACATACAAAAATACATACATACATACATACATACATACATACATACATACATACGTACATACGTACATACGTACATACATACATACATACATACATACATACATACATACATACATACATACATCAGCCTGTCCATCCATCCATCCATCCATCCATCCATCCATCCGTCTGTGTATCTGCTGCTTGTTCTTGTTTGTGTCAGTGGAGCAGCAGTTTGAGCAGGAAGTCCCAGACTTCTGTGTCTCTCAGGTCACTGCTCACTGATGAGCCCTTCCTCCAGGCCTGGCTCCAGGGTAGAGCCACGTTAACACACATCCAGGAGATGGACATCGAGCTCCTTGCTTTATCTTGACCATATGAGCATTGTGAATTGCTCTTTCACTGTCGTGTCACTTTTGGACCAATCTGCCTGGGGTGACCTACCTGTGGCTTTTGCTCCATTGGATGTGTGCACACTTACCCTGTTTTTATTTTCTCAACAGATACGTCAGTGAGCTGAGACTGGTCAGGGTTTTTGGCTCAGAGGGTGGGATCTATAAGTTTTCAGCCAATCATGAGGATGCGTCCATTGATCATCACTTCCATGTTTATGTCAACAGTAAGTATACTACATGTTTATTCACATGTGAGCCAACTCAGTTTTTAAAAAGTTAGAGCATCCAGAACTAGTAATGCATCAACTTCACTGAAATGAGTTATTTTGATGTGTTTTATAATTAAAAAATATATGATCAGATCCATAACTTATTTGGCAAATGTTGGATTGTTGTGTAAAATAAAAACAAAAAGCAATGATTTGAAAATCCCATAAACTAATGTTTATTTACAATGGAACATAGTAAACATATGAACTGTTTAAATTAAGAAATTGCACCTGGCCTTCTGCAAAGCCGTGCTGTTGTCATGAAAACAGTTTGAGGTTTAGCACTGCTGCTGAAATATGCAAGGCCCTTCCTGAAAAGACCATCGTCAGGATGGGAGCATATTTTATTCTAAATCTTCTGCTCTGATGGTGCCTTTCCATGTGTTTAGTCTGCTCATGTAGGCACTAATGCACCCCCATACTATCAGTGAGGCAGGCTTTTGAGCAATGTGTTCATAACAGGCCAGATCAACCTTTTCTTTTTAATACGGAGGATGTGGCAGCCAGGGTTTCAAAATAAAAATAATTTTGATTTGTCTGGCAACAGAAAAGTTTTCCATTTGCCTCTGTCCATTTTAAATGAGTCCAGAGAAGACGGCAGTGTTTATGGACGGTGTTCGAGCTCCACCAACATTGTGGATGGCACAATGAACTGTTTTCACAGAAACTGATTTGTGGGATGTTCCTGAGCCCACGTACGGATGTTCAGAACAGAGTCAGACCTGTTTCAATGCAGTGCTTGAAGGCCAAAGCTCACGAGCATTCAATACTGATCTTTCAGAACTTTGCTGAACTTTCAGCCTCGACCTTTGAGCTCTGAGATTTCTCCTGGTTCTTAAAATCTTGATATGATATCATGATCTGTAGATTACTATTTTTGATTGAGTAACATCCGCCATTTTCTTTACCTGCTTTTTCATTTGCCGGTTGCAAAGAAGCTAGTGCCTAAATCTATTGGGCGCTGTGCGAGAGGCAACATATGACCGCATGTCCACCACAGGGTCACTCAGAGACAAACAATACAACCATTCACACTCTCACTTCTACCTAAGAAAAAAATAGTTACAATATCCTGACTGCATGGTTTTAGTCCATGGAAGGTCACTGGAGTTCGAAGAAAAAACCCTCTGTGCACAGCGAGAACATGCAAACTCCACACAGAAAGATTGGGTGGCAAACCTACAACCTCTTTCCTGCGAGGCAAAACCTCAAACCACTGCTCCACTGTACTGCCCTCATTGATGAACATTATTCTGAAACCTAAAAAAGTTAAATCTGGTCCTCTGGACATTCAAAAAAACAAAACAAAGCAAATCAACAAAAAAATGTAGAAACGTTTCGTCTCTCATCCGAGAGACTTCCTCAGTCTGAGGAGCTGTTTTCAGCTCAGTCTCTTAAATAGCACCTTCTCAGAGTGGATCAACCAGTTTTGCTGCTGACAACCAAAACCAGCTGATCACATGCTCAAGAAGGACCATCAGCCTAACAATGGATCATTAGCACACTGATGGCTGTTTACTGTTCACAGAGGGCTGAGTGATACTAGCAATCACAGCATTGTAAGAGGGGGACAGTTGAACCCGGAGGCCTCCACCCCTGTTTAACGATGGACGATTTCTTTTCACAAAGATGGCCTCCTTTACTCCTCTCTCAAACCATCGTTCCTCTCTGTCCAGGATGTGCACATCTTCATCCCTGAAAGAGTGACCCCTGGCCTGGAGATGAGTGTAGACCGCAGAGTCCTGGCCTGATGATGTTGATCTTCTGTGCTGGGCCATCCTTTTGGCCAGTGGCTGTTTTGTTTCCCTGATGTAAGACTGATCACAGCCCTTCTGACACTGAACAGCATACACAACATTACTCTGTTTGTGCCGGGGGACTGGATCTTTGGGATGAACCAAACTGAGGTGTACCGCAAACCCACACACACAGACCAGTATTTGCAGTTTGACTCCCATCACCCTTTGGAGCACAAGTTAGGAGTCATCAGGACTCTGTACCACAGAGCAGACAGCGTCCCCACTAGCTCGGGAGCCAGGCAGAAGGAGAAATCCCACACAAAACAGGCTCTAGAGCAATGTGGATATCCTTACTGGGCCTTCCTGAAAGCAGAGAAGAAACCCAAACAGGACTCCAGTCAGCCAACAGGTGAAAAGGAGGAACCCAGACCCAGACCAGTGGTCATTCCATATGTTGAGGGAGTATCAGAGAAACTGAGACGTTTATTTTCTAAACATAACGTCCCAGTGGCTTTTAAACCCCAAAATACATTACGGCAAAGACTGGTTCATCCCAAAGATCCAGTCCCCCGGCACAAACAGAGTAATGTTGTGTATGCTGTTCAGTGTCAGGAGGGCTGTGATCAGTCTTACATCGGGGAAACTAAACAGCCACTGGCCAAAAGGATGGCCCAGCACAGAAGATCAACATCATCAGGCCAGGATTCTGCGGTCTACACTCATCTCCAGGCCAGCGGTCACTCTTTCAGGGATGAAGATGTTCACATCCTGGACAGAGAGGAACGATGGTTTGAGAGAGGAGTAAAGGAGGCCATCTTTGTGAAAAGAAACCGTCCATCATTAAACAGGGGTGGAGGCCTCCGGGTTCAACTGTCCCCCTCTTACAATGCTGTGATTGCTAGTATCACTCAACCTCCTGTGAACAGTAAACAGCCATCAGTGTGCTAATGACCCATTGTTAGGCTGATGGTCCTTCTTGAGCATGTGATCAGCTGGTTTTGGTTGTCAGCAGCAAAACTGGTTGATCCACTCTGAGAAGGTGCTATTTAAGAGACTGAGCTGAATACAGCTCCTCAGATTGAGGAAGTCTCTCGGACGAGAGACGAAACGTTTCTAGATTTTTTTGTTGATTTGCTTTGTTTTGTTTTTTTGAATGTCCAGAGGACCAGATTTAACTTTTTTAGATTTTTCTACCTGGATTATTGAGCATGCATCAGGATATTATTCTGAAACTGTTACAATATTTTAAGACAGTGTCTCACAGAAAGGTGAACCTCTGCCCATCTTTACTTCTGAGACATTCAGCCTCTAAAATGTTCTGTCCAGTCCCCTTACAGGCTGGTTACCAGTTAACATTACAAGTTGTAAAATGCTCCTCCAGCTATTTCTTGTTCACACCCTTTACTTTTCAACCTGCCATGAAATTGAAAATTAACCCTTTTCCCCAAAATAAATGGTATATTTTAGTTTAATTAATACTATAAGCTATTGTAAATAAAACATGGGTTAGTGAGATTTACAAGTTATTTTTCTTTCATTCATTCAATCTTTATTTAAACAGATAAATCACATTGAGCCTCGAAGACTCATTTACAAGTGAGACCTGTTTGGACAGACAAAAACACTGGTTAACAGGACACATGTAGGAGTTGGAGGCGAAAAAAATTCCTATCAGACTTTTTCTTTTCTTGCCTGAGAAAAAAAAA